CAACTATCCAAGTAATCAAACACAAGAGAAGAGTTTTTCATTCTTATTTCATCTTTCTCTTGTAAATATTTTGTTCTTGTGAGCTTAATTCTTGTAAACACCTACCTTAGAGAGGTTTTATTGTTTACATCTTTTATCCTTTTGTAAAGGGGAAAGGTTCTAGCTTAGCCCGTGTAAAAGCTAGGGAAAAGTTATAGTTTAGCCCGGAAAAACTAGGGTGTTTGTAAGGTTACTCTTTATCCTCAAAAGAAAGAACAAATTAGTGAATTTGTTGGAAAATCCTTGGTGATGAGTTAAGGTAGTGGACGTAGACTTTGATTGAGAAAGTCGAAACACTATAAATCGTTGTCCAAATCTCTATCTTTCAATCTCCTTACTCCCTAAACACAAAACCGTTCCGACCCCTCTTTGCAAATCGTTCCGGTTGTCGTTTCGAGCTTCCAAAAAATCCTAACACTTCGTATTTTACTTTTTTTATTATTAAATATTGTATTATTTTTTATGTATATTGTAGTAAATCCATATTTAGCCTTAGCTAATATAATGAATTTAAATCTTTTACAATATGTTATTGTTTTCTTATTAAGTGATTATCAATATATAATTTGTATTTGTTAGTATTATTATTATTTAATTTTTTAAATTAATGTAATTATTTGAATTATTAATTTTTGGTACATTAATTAATTAAATAAAAATTTTGATTTATAATAATTTTGGAGGGAATGAAAAAATTCAAGTAGAATCTCGAGATTTTTTCCTCTTTTAAATAAAGATTTAAATTTTCCAACGAAATAATGTAATCCACCGGAAATTAAAAAATTTATATTTCTTTTTATGTTTTTTAATATTTTGATGAAAAAGATATATTCCATCGGAAACATAAAATATAGTATTATATATATATATATATATATATATATATATATATATATATATAATTTTCAATGAATTTTAAATGTTGTCAGTAATTTGTTGACAGATTTTATTCGGTAAATTTTGACGGATTACTTTATATCCTTGAAAATGTTGGTTTCGACCAGTATTTTATTGATCCCTCTTTTTCCTCAAAAATTCCGTGAATAAAATTCAATTATTAAAAAATCCATTAGAAATTCCCTCATCAATAAAAAAATTTGTTATAGTGAAATGGACAAAACAATGTCGTTTTGGAGATGACTATTGATACCTAAAATGATGTCATTTTAGACATTAAACTTTAGGTGAAACAATACCATTTTTGTACACTACATTTTTTCTGATCATCATCGACAATCAATAATTATCCATCATCGGTCGACTTTTGCGACGAGATCACTACCAAACGTTTACATTTCATTCTTCTTTAAAACCCATCTCCTATATCAAACATCCTTTAAATACATTAAAAATTAAACATATTCATATCCGATTCCGATTCTGAGAAACATGGCAGCAACTGTCATATAATTTTAACCAATGTAGTTATAGCAATTCCTGGAACATACAAAATTGCATGTCATTTGATCTTTTTGTTAATCAGTTGTCATGCTTCCAACATGCTCCAAAAATACTGCAAAAACATGCATGCACGTAATAGATAAAAATAACAAGCTTATGATCACGTTAATTAACTAATTCTGCAACTCTTTTAACATCTCAATCCCTCAATTTCTTCGAAAACAAAATTGATATGTTGGTGAACGAAGATGACCTACAACGCATCTTTTCTGAATGGACAAGTATTTTACGGAAATGTCTATTTCGAGTTATTCGAGTCGGTCCGATCCCTTCTCACCTTGCCATTATCATGGACGGTAACCCAAGGTATGCCAAAAAGAAGAAGCTAGAAGAAGGGACCGGCCACGACGCAGGTACACATGGATGAACCAACTCCCTGGAAATTTAATAGGGTAAAGTATATAAATAGTCTCTGGACTATAAGATATTGTTTTATTGAGTCTTTCAACTATTAAAATTTATAAAATGATTCTCTGACTATAGTGTGTTGCTTTGTTGAGTTCCTCGAATATTAAAAGTTACAAAATGATTATTCGACTATTCATATATTCTAAACTCGTCCTTTTCTGTTAGAAAGATTGACAGATGTTTGACTTGAACGTTAACATTCTCACTGAGATATGATAGTAAGTCTGAGAATCTGATATCAGATTTTATCATATTATAGTCAGTAAGTTAATGTCCAACTCATACCGTCGTTAATTTTTAATGAAAATGACAAATTTGAAACATATGAATAGTCGGGTGACCATTTTACAACTTTTAATAATTGAGAAATTCAACAAAGCAACATCCTATATTCAGAGAATCATTATATAACTTTTAATAGTTGATAGATTTAATAAAGCAATGTTTTATAATAGAGGGACTCAACAAAACATCATATTATAATATCATTTATGTACTTTATCTAGTCTTAAGTTATCATATACTTTAGATATTTCTATTGGTAATTTATATTGATGTTTTAACACAAAATTTTGCTATCGTCTCCGTAGGTGCGATGGCGCTCTTGTACCTGCTCGTATACTGCTACGAGCTCGGGATCAAATACGTCACCGCCTACGCTTTCAGCATCCACAACTTCAAGAGAAGCCGGGAGGAAGTTAAGAAGATAATGGATTTGATGATGGAGAGCGTCATTTTATTAACGAGATTATCGAAATTTTGTTCCCTAAGGGTTCATTTCGCAGGAAACCTACAACTCTTGAGCACAGAACTAAGGAATGCGGCCAAGAAGTTGATGGAAAACACCGCCGGAAACTCCAACTTGGTGTTGACGATCTGCGTTTCCTACACTTGCTCCGACGAGATCTTGCACGCCGTCGAGGAATCGAGCAGAGAAAGAACCGATGGTGCCGTTGTAAAGTTGGCGGATATCGAGAAGCATATGTATATGGCCGTTGCACCGGATCCCGACATTATTATCCGTACCGGCGGGGAATGCCGGCTGAGCAACTTCCTTTTGTGGCAGAGTAGTTGCTGTCATTTGTCGTCGGTGTACACGGTTTGGCCGGAGTTTGGAGTGTTGCATCTGGTTTGGGTGGTGATGGATTTTCAGCACAAGTACCCTTATTTTGCTAGGAAAAAGATGAAGCAGTTCGTATCAGTCCCATAATTACAGGTTAATCGGGTAAGTTCAATAAAAAATTTCAACACGTTAAGAGTAGATGGACAAATAATCAAATTAATGTCAATTACAAAAAAAGAAAAGTTATTGCGAATCAATTTACTTTAATGATTAAAAAGATGATTGTTATCCTTATAAATCACGAGTTTAAATATTAACGAATATAGAATATTTAAATATTTATTATCAAATAATTAAAAAATAAATATTTCGTTTAACTTTGAAGAAAATACACATGATATAAGAGTAATAAAAGTTAAACATTTTTACTTTGAAAAGTGATGAAAACGAGGAAGAAGAGAATGTGGAGGAGAATTCTTATCCCTCCTTCGAGTTTTCTCTACAATACTCATGTGCGTTACTATTTTTCCGTTTATCAAATATTTCAAAAATATTCCTCGAATAATTAATAACTTGAAGGTTCGTATTCTCCACTCAGTTATGATCTATTAACATGATATTTGGTAGACTTAAGTGATCTGTCAGAATCAAATCTACAATCAAATATCATATACATATATCATATTAACCTACGAATAATTATAAATGACTATAGGTCTGACACTAACACTAAATATCATTATAAAAAAAATCTCTCATATAAAATTGAAAGAGACTTCTTCCTTTTCCTATACTTTTCTTCTTAGAACAGAAGACACGATCTATCATCCAAAAATGATCATCCGTCATAAAATCATCATCAACGACTTTTTATCAAAATCAAAAAAGTGAACCACTTGTGATTGTCATACCTTAAATATTTTTTAATTAATTTAAAATAATTACAAAATAATATTTTTAAAAAAAATCAATCTTAAATATTACTATAAGTAAGAATAAAAAAAATATTTCCCCGTCTAACTAAATGTGTCTTTTTTTATTTTTAAAATTGTTCCATTCAAAATGTCCTATTAAAAAAATCAACAAACAATAACATTTATATATTTTTTTTACCCTTATATTCACAATCTTTTACATCTAACAAAATAAATGTGTCAAATCTATCAATCACCTTTTAAGATAATTTTATCATTTCCCTTGATCGAATATATTTCCTAAAATTATGTGTATAATCAATATCAGACACAAATCATGGGACGTAGGGAGTATATGATAAAGTGTGAGTGGAAACCTCTCAAGCAATGGCACCCGCTTAAGCAATCGAAGAGAAAAACACTAGAAAGAGGATCAACATGAAAAATATGCTTATAAAAATATTAAAAACGATGTATATGCACAATTTTAATTTTAATTTTAGAAGTTAAAGGATAATATCCAAATTTGCTACTGTACTCTAGGTGAAAATTGAGCTATAAATTTTAATATAATTAAAACATAAAAGTTGGGGATAAATTTAAATAAAATATCAAAGTATGATGACAAAATTTATATTAAACCCAAAGTTGAACTAATATTATGAGACAAAGAGAGCAATAGATTGCTATAAACAATGGATCAAAGTTGGAGGTTAAAATGTTTTCTATGTCAGCAACCCACTTCTGCTAATTACTCACATTGCCGACCCATCACTATGATAATCCATTGTTTTATACATTACAAGCGGAATAAAATACAAAATGTTTTGATATTAATTTTGTCTCGAATGATGATCGATAACAGACGACGATAAATCGATAAAGATCAAATTAATAATTTTTATATAATTAAAAATCATAAGTCCTGTTTATATTTAAGAAATGAACATAAAACCGACGGAAATATAATACATTAATTACTAAAACGTGTGACTTCCACACTGTTATCTATGAGCTATTGGCCATCGTATTCATCATCACCGCTGCATATTTTTGTGTATAAAATCTGCAGATCAAAGGCATGTGTCCTCCACAAGCCTACTTCGTCTCAAAGATTATTACTTTTATTTGTATATTATCGTCTTCGTTCGCCATGGATGCACCACAAGCTCTTCAACCTAATGAAACCCGGATTCAAGTCACTGATGTCAATGGATTCGATTACTCTCTTAGAGGACAATGGCTTCGAGCCGCCGTTTTGGGAGCCAACGATGGGTTGGTTTCAGTCGCTTCGCTAATGATGGGCGTCGCGTCGGTTAAAGTAGACATCAAATCTTTGATCGTTTTCGGTTTTGCAGGTTTGGTCGCCGGTGCTTGTAGCATGGCGATCGGAGAGTATGTATCTGTATGCACCCAAAGGGATGTTGAGGTAGCTCAGATGAGAAGAGAGAAGCGAAAGGGTACGTCCGAGAGTGGAAATGATGATGAGAAACTACCGAATCCTGTACAAGCTGCGGCGGCGTCAGCTTTGGCCTTCGCCGTCGGTGCGGTGATTCCGCTATTGGCTGCTGCTTTTATAAGGCAGAACAAGGTGAGGATTGCGGTGGTGGTTGTGGTGGCCACCGTGGCTTTGTTGGTGTTTGGAGTGGTGGGTGCTTTGCTTGGAGGAACTCCGGTGGCGAAATCCGCCGCCAGGGTGGTTGTCGGTGGATGGATGGCCATGGGCGCTACTTTCGGGCTCACAAAGCTCATTGGATCCGATCATGGGATGCAAAATTGATTTGCTTTATCAATAACGATGGAAGCCAGAGGATTAGTTAGGTGGTTTTAGACCTTAATGGTATAATTAACTTCCAATCCCTGAAAATTTGTAAAACTATAAATTATAATTTAACTCTTTCCCGGCTTCATCCCTGTGACGTGTAACTAAAAATTATACTTTGTAGACAAAACTTCTGTTGTGCATGTAATTATATTATTGGAGTGTTAATCTATTAATCGTAGAATGATATGATAATGTGATACTAAAATAGAAATTAATTTTTTTTTATATTCTATATCATCATCTTTATTAAAATTAAAATTTTTCAATTATTTTTAACCACCGTTATTCTTCGGCATAAATACCGATGAACTCATCTTGTTGCTATCTACTAAAAACTTCTTTAAAATTCATGAAATTAAATAAAAAAAATCCACTCTTTTAGAGATTTGAAAGTTTTCTTAAATTTGAGAGGTTTGAGTGTTTATTCAAAAATCCGAATGATAAGTAGTATTGTTTCGAGAAGACAAACAACATACCTTAAAATTAATTTCATCAGACGACCATCAAAGGAGATCGAAGTATTAGTACGCCGAATCTTTAGATGAATTTTCATTGATTTTGAATGAGTTTTGTGATAAATCAATTTGAGGAGAAGAAAGATATGTGAAAGATGAACATATTAATATCAATCTTACAACGAATAGCGAATGATAACAGATAATGATTAACCATAAACAAAGGTTAGAAAGTTTAATGCTTAAAATTAAATCGTTTTAAAATTTATTTAAAAAATCAATACACAAATTGAAGGGTTATAAAATTCTAAAAATTGATATTATTTTGAGTATTAATATACCCACACCAAAACAATATCGTTCCCCCACACTCAAATCCTCAAAATTGATATTAGGGAAAGAAAATAAAAGAAATTCAAAGGATGGGTTTTCAAATCCTCAAACTTAATGTGTGTTTCAAGTTCCCCACATGCAACACATACTGTCCCAATGCAACCTTTCTGCTCCCAAGCTCATCAACCACACTCAAATCTTTGCAAACATCCACTTTGAATCTCACCGACGTCTCCGATCTCCCACTCAACGATACTTTCTCGAACCCCACCAGATGTTTCCGGGGCGAGTTGTGCACCGACGGTGGAGTGGCGAACAACAAGACAGTGTGGCTCCCATCGTATCTCCCCATGTTCCGAACCCTCAAATGTACGTCGAACGCCGAGTTTTCACAATGTCGTTTGACGGTCTCGATGGAATTTCAGTCCGATGAGTGGTGACAGGTGTCATCTTCGTCCAAGGGGAACAATTGTACTTGAGGTACTTGACTAGTTTGTGGATGAATTTAGAGTAACTTAACGCATCACCAAATGTGTAGACTATTTTCCCAGTGTAGAATCTGTAGGTTCTTCTAGGGTACCCTTTGGAAGGGTCTGGTCTCTTGTACATGTTTGTCTTTGGAATGTTTTGAAGATATGATTGTGGGTACCATGTCATTGGCAGCCTTCCGCCTAATAGCAATGCTCAAGAAAAGCGTACGTTACTCGGTCTCGGGTTTGAGTATAGAATAAAATATAGATTTATATTTGATTATATATCGAACACGAATACTTACTCGAATTATAATACCCGAAAATCACATCGGCGATGTCAGCTCCACCGGCTTCACCAGGGTAACCAACCCAAAGGGTGCTTGAAATCTTCTTCTTGTTTTTGGCAAACAAAACATCAAGGCCTCCACCAGACATTATTACAAGAATAACATTGTCCCTTGGTAACCTTTGCAACTTCATTTATAAGAAGTGGTTGCTGTCCGGACAAAAGAAGGTCGACCCGATCGAGGCATTCTCTTTCGAGAGATTGGTCGATACCCATCACGAGTACTGTGGCTTTGAACGAGGCAGTTATTTTCTTTGCTGCGTTTACTTGTGCATTGGCACATACCACGTCGGAGCAGCCCGACAGATATTTGTTGGATATATGAACTGCAAAACTACACCGTTAGCACTGACTGGAAATATAAACAGTAATTAAAAAGAACAAATTCGTAAACCGTGTCGTGGCAAAAACCACTGCCTTAGAAACGAATTCGCCCCGATGTGTGTGTAATCGCTGCAGTAGGCGGACCGTCCCCCGAGTTAACACGGTCGCTCCGAATTCCGTACACCCGAAATCGGAGTGGACTGCCGGTGGTATTGCTCTTCTTATCGGAAAACACAGAAAGAATAATTGCATAAAACACTTTGAGAGTGAATTGTGAATGTTGAGAGTGAGTTGAGAAGCTGAATATAACCCTCTATTTATAGGCTAAAAATAGGGTTAAAATCATCCATAAAATTTCAGGATTAAATCTCTTCTTTTGTAACAGCTGAAACGTCTAGATGAACCCGACTCAAAAATAGTCCAGGTTCATTGCATCATTGTTCAGCTGTTATAACTCCCAAAATTATATCTTGTAACCCATGGAATTAAATCAAATAACTCCTGTAACTCCTGATATTAATAGCTTGTCTCCTCTGTACAAAGCTGGAAATCAGTCCAGATACATCTTAACGTTTTTTATTTAATTTAGGAAAAGCTGTTTAATTTCTGATAACTCTCATAAATCAACTGTTATCATTTGAAATTAACAGTCCTCATCAGCCTATAAATATCAGTTGAAATCTTTCACATTTTTTCCATTTGTTTCTTTCAAAGAGAAATTCCTCAAGAATTTTCTCTAAAAAAATAGTATCCGCGCGGACGTGTCGAAGACACGTATTACCACGACCACGACCACGACCACGAGCCGAGCCTAGCCATGCCTAGCCGAGCCGAGCCGAGACGGACGGACGGCGGCGGCGGTGCGCGAGAGTCCCCTTTGTTCTCTATCACTCAACAAGGAAGTGGGAAAGCCAAGCCTTAAATACTATTCCCAAAAGTGTTTCCAATATTATGTGGGATTGATCATTACCAACATTCCCCCACTAATGCGAAAGAAATCTTCTGAAACTCGAAAACAAACTTTCCAGAAGAGCAATAGCGAGATTAGTTGCTTAAGCACTAGTGAACGTATCTGGAACTAGTACATAGTGGTGATGAGCAATCCTTCTCTTAGAAAAGTGCAACTAGTCTGGAACTTTCTAAGATCAGGGTAAACTCATAACACACAACTAACCCCTTCATCCACCTGAGTCCTCGATGTGTAAGATATATATATATACAAAGTATATATTTGGCCATCTTACCTCAAGATTCTAGTAAGTGTGCTAGAAAAATGACCCAACATATTTCATAGAAGGCGGCTAACCCTTCTCACTTACTTAGGTTATTTCATCAAGTTTATCTCAACATAAACCACCCTTTAAAAAGGGATATGAAATAATTAAGAGCTTTTATAATAGCTCAACCTCACAAAGGGTATGGTGACTTTCTTCAAGTTCATTATAAATGAACCACCCAAACTCTGGGCTAAGAAATCATTAAGAATAAATATTCAACCTCATTTATCAGTAAATTCAATAAGTCCTTCTCACTAGAACCATCCAAATACTTGGATTTGAATTTATTAAGAGTTTAACAAACTCAACCTTTCTGTCGGTAAGTTCATCATTTCCTACCCACTCACTCTGGGTTATGAACTTATTAAGAATAGATATTCAGCCAAAATCAGTAAATTCATCAAGTCTTTCTCACTAAGACCACCCAAAGCCTGGGCTATGAATTTATTAAGAGCACTTAAGCTCATCTTGGGCATGCACATTATTCGTCATAGGGATAGGCAGTAGGAATATGCACTATGAGTCTTTCCATGGTTTCGTTTGACCACATGGAACTTAGATAACTAAGTTGGGTATCCACCATGAATTCCTCAACAAATGGGCTTTAGACCCATCCCCCTCGATGAATCTAGGACCAGCTTCCGACTTAACCCTTTGGTAAGTGGATCTGCTAGGTTCCTTTCCGACTTCACATACTCTAAAGAGAGCACTCCATTCTTTATGAAGTGTCTAACAGATTCATGTCTTATGCGAATGTGTCTTCTCTTACCATTGTAAGCTTGGTTCTTAGCCACACATATCGCAGCTTGTGAATCACACAATAATGAAACTGGAGGAGTCGGTCTTCCCCACAATGGAATATCTGCTAACAATCTTCTGAGCCACTCGGCTTCTTGCCCAGCTAGGTCAATAGCTATAAACTCTGACTCCATAGTAGAACGAGCAATACAAGTCTGCTTTGATGATTTCCACGAGATTGCTACTCCACCCAAAGTAAAAACATACCCGCTCGTAGAGCTTACCTCATCATTATCAGAAACCCAGTTGGAATCACAATATCCTTCCAGTACCGCAGGAAAGGCAACAAACTCAAGTTTCCAATCCAAAGTACCCTTAAGATACTTCAGTAAGCGTTTAAGAGCAATCCAGTGCTCACCACTCGGATTATGAGTATATTTACTCAGTCTACTCACAGCATAAGCAATATCAGACTGAGTATAGTTCATTAAGAACATTAAGCTTTCGATTAACTTAGCATATTCAGTTTGGGAAACACTACTTCCTTTATTCTTAACTAGATGTATGCTAGGGTCATAAGGAGTTCGAACAGGGACAACATCAAAACTGTCAAATTTCTTTAGCTCTTTCTTTATATAATGTGCTTGACATAAAGAAAATCCCTTCTCAGTTTTGGTAACTTTGACTCCTAAGATTACATCTACTTCTCCCAAATCTGTCATCTCAAACTTAGTGGACAAGAAATTTTTAACTTTGTTAATAGACTCAATGTTAGAACTGAAAATCAACATGTCATCAACATAAAGACATATGATAACACATTCAGTGTCAAACATCTTCGAATACGCACAAGCATCCGAACCATTCACAACAAAACCAAAACTAAGAATAGTTTTATGAAATTTCTCATACCACTGTTTAGGAGCCTTCTTAAGTCGATAGAGTGACTTTTTGAGTCTACAGACTTTGCCTTCCATACCAGGTGCTTCAAAACCTAGTGGCTGCTCCATGTAAATCTCCTCATCTAGATCTCCATTCAAGAAAGCAGTCTTAACATCCATTTGATGTACCTGCAACTTATGAATAGAGGCTAGTGCAAATAATGC